AAGACTGCCGGATTAATGTGAAAAAATGATCAAATTTCGAGTTCAAGGTCTATTTTAGCAAAGTTCCAAGCATTCAAATGGGCCGTTACTCCCCTCAAATTGTTTACCCATAATAAGATTCAGTTGAAATTTACCCGGGATTTACTACAGGGTCTTTAAAAGTTGTATTTACTGGATTATAAAATGTGTGTGTGTGTGTGTGTGTATTTTATATATATATATATATTTGTGATTGCAGAGTAAACCGATGAAGATATAAATTGATAAGAGAATCTCTTGTAAAACAATTGATCGGTAAACCATGCTCGGAGTAGTTTTACACGTCGAAATATCTCATAATTGAGTGAAGTTACTTATTAATGAAGAAAGTTTAATAAGAAAAAGTACGTCTCCGAATCAGCTACAAAGTGCATGTAAAAATTGTTTTTTTATTCTTGGCTTTTTCGAGTTATGTAAGTAACATAGTTTTTTTAAATGAATACCTATAATTTTTTTTGCATATTTATGTATATAGTAGGGAGCATTTGCAATCAAAATTATATGTAGTAAAAAATTGCTATTATGCATCATTTACGAGATAATCGATATCTTATGTATCAAAACAGTAAATTGGATTCTAAGTAATTTTGAATGTGGTTTGAAATGTCAAAGAGAGGTCGAAGAAGAAAACGAATAATGTTTTTATGGAACATTTATTAATCCATAAATTACTCGAAATTTTGACCATCATGTTCCCAATGCAACATTCAACCCGTTTTATAGTTTCTCATTGTTGACTGCACCATTTTTACTCTTGTATTCAATAGCTCTAGTGAATCTTCTTCATTTTGGAACAGTTGCGTAGACAATGTCTTTAATATATTCTCAAAGGAAAAAATCGCAAGATGTCAAATTCGCAGATCTCGATGGCCATTGTGTAGGGCCATTAGTACCTATCCAACAATTAGGAAACCTATCATTTAAAAAATTGGCTACAGCATGTGTATGATGTGGTGGAGCCCCATCTTGTTAAAAAATAACATTTACGACATAAAATCATTAGAACTGTTGAAGATATTACAGTAGAAATGCTGCAGTCAACAATGAGAAACATTATAAAATGCGTTGAATATTGAACACGATGGTCAAAATTTCGAGTAATTTATGGGTTAATAAATGTTCCACAAAAAAAAGTTCGTTTCCTTCTTCGACTTCTCTTTGACATTTCAAACCATGTTCAAAATGACTTAGAATCCAAATTAATTATTTACTATAGAAGATTATCTTCCAATGACCTTGACATATGTTGTGACATATGGTTGTACTTGAGTCCGAGTGACTTTGGACAAATTTTAGTCGTTGCTCATTGTTCCTTAAAAAGTTACTAACATAAAAGTTCATTAATAAAACCTAACTTTTGGACACAACTGCGCTCCGATGAAATAAATTCTCTACTTTAACAGCGCAAAATATTTTCTTATATAATTTTTTATATAATTTTTGTGTCTTTAGAGCAGAGAATTTGTCCGAATTTCTTCTACGCTTATATGTGGAATCTTTAGCCATTACGTTAAAAAAAGCGTTTAATCATTCACATGTATCAAACACTTTTCTAAATATGAATTCTGCAAGGTAATAAATGAAATGGGATTGTTTACGATCATATCGAGATATAATTCCGTGAATATCTCTCCATAGATGTTCCATATTTTTAGTATAAACGCCTGGATCAACAAAATGTTATGAATGATTCACTATTTTATGTTGATATATTTGATCGATTTAGCTATATGCTTCCTACCAATCGGTATGAATTATTGATCCAGGAGCAATGTATTTCCGGATGAGCGATAGTAATGTTTATGCGTCATGGGATTCAATTGTTAGAACAAACATTTTCTTTGTGTTGCGTGTTATTCCGCCGAAAAGCCATTGTCTTTTAACGAGTTGTTTGCAATGATATTGTCGATATCCAAATTTTGCCTCATCGATTTCAACAATAATTCCTTCTCCGCCAATTTTACTTTGATTATTTGTTAACCATTGATTCATGAGCTGAGAAGCCCGTTTGTTGTAATTGAATATTTATTAAAGTAAAAAATTTTTAATTAAGTATACAAATTTTATGTTTCAAAAATACTAATATTTTACTTCAAAAACGCAAATTTCCTGCTTTACAAATAATTGTCATTGTTTTCCATTTATGTAATTTTATGAAATAATTAAATTACATGAATTACCTCTCTGCAAAAGATAGTCCAGCAAACTGATGTGTATGATAATATACTTGATTCTTTTTCTGAGAATGTCTGCTTTACAAATACAAATTCTTTACTTTAAAATCACATTGTCTTGATGAACTTTTTTTGGTAACAACTTTTTAACGAACAACGAACGACGGCTAAAATTTGGTCAAAGTCACTCGGGAGCATGATCTTGACAACATATGTTGACAAGGTCAAGGTCATTAGAAGATGGTCTCCTGTACTAAATAATTACCGAATTATATTTATTACTTTGATACTTAAGATGTCGATTATCTCGTAAATGATGCATAATATAATAACAATTTTGTAACTACATACAATTTAGATTACAAATGTTCTCTATACAAATATGCAAAAAGATTATAGGTATCCATTTAAAAAAACTATGTTAACCTACTTAACTCGAAAAAAACCAAAAGCAGAAAAAAATTTTTTACGTGTACTTTGTAGCTGACTCGACAAATTTCTCTTATTAAACTTTCTTGTAATTTCAACCAGTTGCGAGATATTTGCTCGGACATTTATGGATGAACATCCTGTATATAATAGACACTACATTTAGCTCTACATATATTGTAGAGCTAAATAAATTATCGTTCAATGATCAAAAAACATACAGTATAACCTTTAAAATCTGGATTAAACTTTTTTTGCATCGAATTAAACATGTATTAAGGAAAATCGAAACTTTGATTTAAAAATTATTTAGTAGCAACCTCTAAATCTCATCTTTTGATAAAAATTTAGGGATGTTCTTTTGACATGATGGAAGATTTTAAGCTGAGAGGCCGATTAAAAAAAAATTTTTTTTTCTTGACAGTCTAATGTATATGTACCTATGTACAATAATTGCATATAATAAGTAATTGCAGTATATTATATTTTTATGACTTATGCTAGTTTCGATTAAATTTTATTAAAGGAATTCTCTGAAATGAGTATAGTTTTGTTGTTCATTTTTAAAATTTCTTTAAAATTTTATTCTCGGAAAGTCATCTGATCCAGTTCGGGGACACTTTAGATAAAAAATTGGAAATAGCTAATTTTGCTGCTGTATCTAACGAAAGACCTGAAACAACTGTTCGGAATCGATTTTCCTTGAAGTATATTGTTAAACACAAAAATCTAAGAGACATGTATCTTTTTATATCCCAATATCAAATTTGATGTGTGAAACAATCTTTCAAAGTTAACACTTATAGTTAATTCCTATCAATTATATTATCTAATAAAATTTGACCTTTTTCCTTGGCGACCCGCATTTAACAGATTCAAGATCGTTGAATTCGTCATCGAAATATGCTCATCACGTTAAGTTTTTGAAATAAGTCAAGTAATATAAGTCAAAAACAACATTTTTTGCCATATTTATCATTTATTTGTGGCAAAATGAAATTTTATTTTACAATTTCATTAGCGTTACTCTAAAGAGCGAATCTTCCTTTAAAACGAATTTTTTATTGTGTGATTTTTTTTATTAAGTTATGAACGTTTTCTGAAATATAAAATGGTGGATCTAAATTAGCGGATTAAATCTGAAAAATAGACAGATTTGTATCACAAAAGGAATGTCACTTCGGTTCTCCATAATGGATCCGCCATTTTGAATTTCTATATTTTAAATTTATTAAATCCGATATCAGTGACATTTAGAAAGCCTAAGATATTTTTTTGATACAAATCTATTTACTTTCTAGGTTCAGTCCGCTAATTTGGATCCATCATTTTACATTTCAGAAAACATTCATAACTCAATAAAAAAAAATTGTACAGTAAAAAATAAAAATTCGTTTTAAAGATGAAGATTCGCTCTTTAGAGTGGTGCTAATGAAATTGAAAAATAAAATTTCGTTTGGCCATAAAAAAAATGGTAAATATGGCAAAAAAAAACTGGTTTTGGCTCATATTACTTGATTTATCTCAAAAATCTGATGTGATAGATATCTTTCACTGGCGGATTTGGATTCAGCAATCTTGAATCTACGATATTAAGAAATGTTGGCCTTACTCGCATTTTTTTTGTTGGATTGTGTTAACAACGAAACGATGAAATGTTTAGAAAAACGTTGTAGACAAAACACGTATAATTTTATATACGAATATATTTTATAACTGTGTATTAAGATTTTTCAAAAATCTAATATTTTAAAAATACCCTCATACTCATTTATTTTGAGGAGTTGTTTTACCTAAATCTAAGAGGCCGATATAAAAAAATATGTATCTCTTAGATTTTTGTTGATTTATCAACATATTTCAAGGAGAATCGAATCTGTTTCGGGCAGTTGTGACAAACCCTTGTAAGTAATTTACTAGAAATACAGCTCAGCAGAGCTGGAATAACTGATGTTCTCAGTCCTAGAGCTGTAGTTATTGCGTATAGAGTCTACGCAGAATTCGCCCCATTCCTCCCAGCATCTTCCCCACGGTAATTCCGTTTGGAAACTAGCGATGAGGTAGAACAAGGTCAACGCCATCAGCGAGCAGTAATAGGACGTCAATGCCAGCAATGTTATACATTGCGCGATGCCAATGCCTACGATTATTTAATTTTATTCTTACGCTATAATATTATATTTTACAATTTTTTTATACATCTCATGAATACTGTAATAAAATTGAAGCGCAATGAGAGACTAAGAAAAAAGCACTAGGATACCAAATGTACTCGCACCTCTAAATGCCGGCGCAAGGTCCCAGATCTTCAAGGATGACTGGCTGGAGAATTGTCCTAGGATCATCTCTAGCAGGTAAAACGGCTTCCCTACGACGATTAAAATGATGATATACGGTATCAGAAAGGCGCCGCCGCCGTTCTCATATGCCGTGAACGGAAATCGCCATATATTACCGAGACCGACCGACATGGCGATACAGGATAATAGAAATTCCCTGTCATTTCCCCATTGCTGCCGCTCCGGCTTCTGTTATATGAAAAACATACGCGTGCAACGAGCAAGAGAAAAAGAATAATATATAAATAACTGATCTTCTACTGAGACAACTTTTAAAGTAATTTTAATTCATTATAATGACAAAAGCTGTGTTTCGAGACCGAAATTAATATTCTTCTACTTTCTGCAAAAATATTTTGAAGCAGATAGGCTGTGCAAAACTTTCTTTTTGCTTAATCATAATTATAATCAAGATGCCCATCAAAAGAAAATCCTTAAGAAAAATCATAAAAATAGACAGATCTTACTTTAGCATTATTTGAAAATTGCTTCGGTTCTAATCGAACTGAAAAATATTTTTATCTATTAAACTATTCATTTTTTAGTAACTGTACTTTAATCAAGCGATGCGGTAGGGTCGCGACTCCAAGTATATAAAAATATAAAACGAGTCGCTTGATCGCTTGACATATGAACGTCGTTGTGTATATGTTCATATTGCCAAATTTGCAATGCTACCACTAGTTTTATCTGGAATTTTGACATTAATTTTAAATTAAAATTATTCAGAAATCAAAGTCGTAATTAAAAATCTAAAAACACTTTTATTATATAATTCATTGATATCTTTTGGCTGCGACCAGTAAAAATTTTCCAAATAAAATTAGTGCAGCCGATACCGAGATCTGGAGATCGAGCCTCGAAAAGAGACTATTTTAGATTTTTAGATTTCTTCAGTCGCTTTACATGTGACAAATACATGTGAAGCGTTTTGTCCATTAAGGAGGTTCGACTATTACTTTGGAGTTAAAACTGCAAATAAAATAAATTGTCATTACAGCGATTCCGAATCATATGCAATGTTAATGCAATGAATTGTAGATATTATTTATGTGCTACATGCTTAATAAATTATTAATGTATAGAATATTAATAAATATATGAGCTTGTCAATGACTCGGGAGGTCAAGTGCATACAGACGATTTGACAACGTTGCACTTCGCGACTGTGCTTCACGGGCAATGATCGGATGTGACGAATGATAAGGAAGAAATTTAGAATCTAAAAACCGATTTTGTATTATTTTCACATTTGTTTCTTTACACCAAGATGGACTTTAGGTTACATGAAGTTTATTTCATATCAGCTGTACACTACAACTTTCTAAGTTTGTTACTACTAATACGATCCGTGAGGTAAAGATAAACTTTGTAACAATAAAGCTTTAAATCCGTATGTACATAGTGTTCGCATCAATATGATAACACTAATGTCGATACTATAGTTCTGATTTGAAACTGTTTATTTGTTTTATGTATACTGCTGAATACAGCTTATCAGTTACTTATCGCTACGAATTGCTGTTAACACTATCAGTACAAAACTGACCCTTTTAATAAGGGCTAGAAAAAGGCATGAGTACATATTCTTCGGTTCTTCGGAAAAAAAATATGTACTAAATTGATTAATTCATATACTATTTATAAGAAAACATTAAATAATACAAAATCCATTTCAAAAAATAATAAAAAAGCGCTGTGAATACGTGCTCTGCAAAAAAAATTTATTTTTTGTTATCTCACTCAATCCAAATCATATATAAACCTTGATTAAGAATTACAACTTAAATAATAGTATATCTAATTTAAAAAAATAAAATCTATATTTGTATATTTGCCACCAAGTTAAAATCTCATAAATAAAAATTGTACTTAATTTGAATGATACATATCATCATCAGGTACATAAAAGATCTGACATCAATAATTAGTGCTAAATTATATATTAGGTGTAGTAAAAAGAAATCCATTATTTTTCCAATAGATGGCTTTAGTAATCTTATCTCGTCTACGCGTAAATAATATCTGTCATATATAGAATTAAAAGAATTTTAAAAACAAAATACGATGGGAGTAAGTATAATCAATGCGAATACGTGCGAGCGTTATGGCGTGCAGATGAGAATTAAATTAAGTATAGGACATAGTAGTACTGCAATACCATTATATTTTGTTTTAATATTCAACTTTCTTTTTAATAAATGTAGCATTCAAATTAAATTCATTATTACGTTTGAACGGTGTTTAATTTATCCAATGTTTTTACATGATTTTTTATTTAAAATTTTTAATTTTGTTCTGTTACGTCCTCAATTCTCTATAATTCTCTTGGATTGAAAAAATAACGCAATTTAAATTTCATTTTTTAATTTTGTACAACAAAGTTTTGTGTGTTCAAGGTTCATATATGATTTGGATTGAGCGAGGTAACATTTTTAAAGATTTTTAAAGATTATATATAATTTAGCGCTAATTATTGATGTCAGATCTTTTATGTACCTGATATGTATCATTCAAATTAAATACAATTTTTATTTATGAAATTTTAACTTGGTGGCAAATATACAAATATAGGTTTTATTTTTTTAAATGAGATATACTATCATTTAAGTTGTAATTCTTAATCAAGGTTTATATATTGGATTGAGTAATAATTTTTAAAGATTATAATTTAGCGCCCATTATTAATATCAAATCTTTTATATGCCTATACGTATCATTCAAATTAATCATAAATAGTATCATAAATAGTAGAATTTTTATTTATGGGATTTTAATAGATAAATAAAATAAAAATACGTGTTACTGGTTTCATTATAATTTTTATTTTAATTTAATAAAATTTTTTCGCAGAACATGTATTCACAGCACATATACACAGCGCTGTTTTATTATTTTTTGAAATGGATTTTGTATTGTTTAATATCTTCTTATAAACAGTATATGAATTTAGTATACATTTTTTCCGAAGAACCGAAAAATACACACTCTTATCATCTTTTTTTACCCCTTTTTCGAAGGGTAAGTTTTGTACTGATATCACATGTATTTTGTAGTGTTTAATATTTTCTTATAAATTTATTTTTTAATGTAGTAAAATTAATTGTCACATCAGGGTTAGAAAGTCACTCAATCATTATTTACAACGAGTTGGAACGGTCACTTGTTACTGAAAAATAGTAACTCGTTATTTGCGTTACTTTTTACTCATTACTTATAACGATTAATGTTACGCGTTATTCATTACAAATAACCTTTTTAATGAGCAAACGTGTAATGGTAACGCGTAAAGAGTTATTTTCCAAAGTGACTTTTCCAAGCTTAGCCAAAAATTAATGTAGTCAATTATCGTTGCAATCATAAAAAAACTGCAACGTTTCATTATCAACTCGCTTTTATAAATGACTGTAGTGATAAAATTTACAGTATTGCTTTACTTCCCATCCCTGCATTTTTTATATAAATATATTTGTATAAAAAGTTCCTTTTCAATTAGTTATTCAGTTAGATATTTCAAAATAAGAACCATGGAAAGATTTTTAACTGTACAAGTTTAAACTTTGAATGCCTGTTTATCAGTGTTTTAAATATAATGTAAGTAACCAATAAAATAATTCGTAAAGCATATGAAATTAAATTTAAAGGAATCATAAGGCCTAATTATGAGTACAAACATAAATCATAGTTAGAATTACTCTTTTCGATAACTTTTACTTAATTTTATTCCTTTTTTCAATCTGTAATTAATACTTAACGTATATCTGCGGCATACGATACTTGTTTTCCTGCTACATTTCCTGCAACCTTTGGAAGGTTTAACAATCGTTATCAAACGTTAAAAAATTATTAAAAATGAAATAGAGAATTCAACTCTAATGATACTGACCTTGACATATATAATCAAGATCATGACCCTAAGTAATCTTCAAAACATTTTGGCAGTTGCTCGTTGATTATTAAGAAGATATTAAAATTAAAATGACAATTCACTTCCGATGACCTTGATCCCCCCACAATATGAAGGTCATCACACCGAACAACCTTCGGTTGTTGTAACAGTAACAGTTACGCGTTACAAAGTTATCAAAAAAAATTCAAATGACGTTGACTCATATTGTCAAGACCCTGAGTGACCATCGGACAGTTTCAGCAGATGACCGTTGCTTATTAAGAAAATATTAAAAATAAAATGAACAATTCACTCCGATGACCTTTCCACATATTATAAAGGTCATCATACCGAACAACCTTCGGAAGGTTATAACAGTAACCCATCACGTGTTACAAAGTATAGTTATAAAATAAAATAAAAAAAAATGACCTTGACATATATTGTTCAAAGGGCGTATCTCGATTGGACACATAATTATTGGATACCACATGATTTTATAAAAAATTTGTCATTCGATGTATAAATTATCCACATTTAAAGCCCTCTTAATGTATACGTACATACGTACATATACATATTCGAATGCGTTATGGCTCACCGAGCGGCTTATAGCTTTTTTTTTCCAGGTCAATGATTTCTATACGTAATTCATATGTTTATTTCATTGATGTATTTATGAAGATTTTAAAAAGTTTTAGATCCATCATGCATATTTAACAATGTTTACTTAGGCTGCGTCCCCATGGAGAAAGAAACAGCGGGCGGAACGGAATATTGACAGAAAAGATATAAGTTGAGACTTCTTTTTCCATGAGAACATAGCTTTATGTAACATTTCGTATACATATAAGGGCAATGCTTTCTTTTACCGTTTCGATGTTTTTTATCGGTATGTGCCTGATTTGTATTAAAATAGATACGTTGTTATATATATTTCACTATATAAAGTGAAGGTACATCGAGAAAATGAAATTATAAAAAAGCATTAAGGCTGAGTTTCCACTGAGTGCGTCACGCGTCGCATCGAAAGAAAGAAAGAGAGAAGTTTATATATACCATATATGTAGTATTATTATATTGCTAACGCAGCCTCTTTTTGAGAGTGGGGAGTATGCCAAGATAATGAGATAGAAAATTGACTTCTCGCTTCCACGATTCGTGTACTTTGAATGCGCATGCGGAGAACGTATGCACGCGCACATTTTACAAATAATAAAACACATATATTATATATATTAAAACTGAAATTTTACACAATCCTAATTATAATTAATGCTACTGATGATGGAATAAAATA